CCCAGCTCGGCGGCCGTGCCGCCGGGCCGCCAGGCGGCCCGAGGGGCGCCGCTGGGGACGGCCTCGGCGGGGCGGCCCAGCTCAGCAGCGGCCGCGCCTCGAGCTGCCGCGAAGGCGACGGGAGCACGAGCGTGCGCGGCTCGGCGGCGGGCGCGCCGTCCTCCTCGGCGTCGCGCTCCATGTAGTGCCTGCCGCGGCACGGCAGCCTGACGTCCTCCTGCATCTTGTGGAAGTCGCACACCCCGTTCTTGAGGTCAAAATGCCACCACGAGAGGTGGTTCAGGACAGCCACGATCAGGCACCAAATGTTGATCAAGGACACATGCAGGAGGTGTGCCTGGGGCTCCGTGAAACTCGGCAGTCGCAAGTCATATGGGAGTCGATTTGCAGTTGCAATCTGCAGTTTCTCGTGAAGCGGAACGCCCTTCGTGAAGGCCTTGAGCACCTTCCCCTCAAATGCGGCCACCATGAGCAGCAACCGGGCCCCATGAAACTTTAGGTTAGCACTCCAGCCCAATCTCGACTGGATGGCTTCTGTCTGGCAGATGACAAGCATGTTCAGGACTGCCAGGATGGTAAGGAACGCGTATCCGCCGCCGTGTCTTTGCACGTAGTGTAGTGCCCTCAGGTCACTGAGGCTCCTCTGCGTTGAATGGTGGGTGTTGCAAATGTCCGAACAAGGGGCTCACAGCCCCGATTTCCAGGCGCTCCTGCGCGCTCTCAGGCGCTCCTGGGGTTCCTCGCGTGGCCGTTCCTGAGGCCAGAGGACCCCAAAACAGAGGGCCCCAAGCATGCCAAGAAGATCGCAAGAGGCCCCCAACACGGTCCCACAAGTCTCCGAGACGCGTAAGACGAACTGAAGACGGACTCCAGACGGCCCAAGAAGCCCCCAAGACGCCCCAAAAGGGCTCCAAGACGTCCCCAAAGAGGGCCCCAAGATGCAAAAGTCATAGAGTGGCGTTTGGTTGTTGAACAACACTTGGTAAGATGTTAGCGTTCTTGCCTTTTCGGGCTCCCAACGCTACAAGACAGCCAAGAAGCAACCACTATCGCCCCAAGACGGCCCAAGAGGCCCCCAGAAGGCCCAAGACGGGCCCAAGAGGCCCACTGTCATTTCTAGCCCTCCGCCCCAAGATGGCTCCCGAGACCGCCAGCAGGCCCATAAGAAGCCCCAAGAGGCACCCAGGAGGCCCAAAAGAGTCCCTAAAAGGTCTCCGAAGGTCCCACGACATCCCAAAAACGCCTCCGAGAGGCTACCAGGAGGCCTACCACGACATCAAAACAGGCAGCCAAGATGCCTGACCAACAACCTGGGCATAGTGGCGGGATAGGCCGAAGGCTACTAGATCCGCCGCCCCTTGTTCATCACAGGGGTACCTGGCGTGCTGCACCCTTTCACTTTTGGTTCTGTTTTTTTCCAGAAGAACTCAACCTGGGGCTTCGTCCCAGCCCGCCAAGGTCCCAGAATGTTCCCGAACATCCGTTTGCCACTGCCTCTCTTGCTCCAAGATGGCCTACGATGGCCTCCAAGACGGCCAAGATGGCCCAGGAAGTCCTCCAAGATGCTTCAAAGACGGCCAAGATGGCATCCAAGACGGCTAAAATGGTCCCAAAACGCACCCAAGACGGCCCCAGATGGCCTCAAGATGGTCTAAGCCGGCCCGAAAGGCCCAGAAGAGGCCTCCAAGACGGCCCAAGAGCGCTCAAAGACGTCCTCCAGGAAGGCCCGAAAGAGCAACAATCATTTATCTATCCTAGGTGTTTGAAGGATTTTGGCATGTTCTTCTTATCAGCTCTCCGACGGCCCAAGAGGCCCCCAGAATCGTCCCAAGAGCGCCCAAGAGGCCTCCAAGATGGCCCCATGACAGCTCAAGAGGCCGCCAAGAGGGCCCAAGAAGAGCCCAAGACGGCCCAAGATGGCCCCGAAGACGCCGAAGATGGCCTCCAAGACGGCCAAGATGACCTCCAAGATGCCTCAAAGATGGCCAAGAAGGCCTCCAAGACAGCGAAGATGGCCCCAAGATGCTTCCAAGACTGCCCCAGATGGCCTCAAGCTGGCCTTAGACTTCCCAAAAGGCCCGCAAAGGGACTCCAAGACGGCCCAAGACCCCTCCAAGACGTCCTCCAGGAAGGCCCGAAAGCTCCGTAACCACCTGGTCCGATAGCTCGCCCGACTCCGTGTTCCCCAGAGGCTTTCGAAACCCACTCGGGGAACGCGTGGCCCGTTAGCTTGGCCAAACTCAAACCCCACCTTTGGCCACGCAGGCGCTTCTAAAAAGGCAGGGGGCGGCGGTGATTCGCCTTAGGCGTCTTCGATCCGACGCCTACTGTGGTCATGCCACAGGGGTGCCTCCCCTACCCCCTCCCCTGGGCCTGCGAGGGGGGGGGGCTCGAGGCGTTGAAGCTTCCAAGATCGCCCACGATGGCTCCATGAGGGCCTGAGAAACCCCAAGATGGTATCAAATATAGCTCAAGATAACTCAAGATGGCTCAATATAGCCGCCGACACACATTCAAGAGGCCTCAGGACGGCCCCGAGATGGTTTTAAGTGCCCCCCGAGCCCTCCAAGGAACCCAGACCTCTCCAAGAGGCCAAAATTGCTCCAACACCTCAGGAAAGTGTATGATTTCTGCCTTCTCGCCTTATCGCTTCCGATGGGCCTCAGAGGCCCCCAAATGCGTCCAAGACGGCCCAAGGGAGCCCCACGAGGGACCTTAGAAAGCTCCAAGACGGCCCCAAGAGCGCTCCAAGAACGGCTCCAGAGGGCCTCACGACACGTTTGAACCTCCGAGTGGAGGACCTTTTTGAGCCTCAGGGGCCAAGATGGCCCCAAGAGGCCTACCAGGCCCCAGGCCCCTCCAAAGAGTCCCAGGAGGCCCCCTAGACCCCCAACGAGCCCCAAGAGGGCCCCAAGTGGCTCCGCGAGGACCCCAAGAGAGACCCAATAAGGCTGCAAGAGACCTCCGAGAAAATACTTCCAAGGCGGTTGTTGCACTGCATGCTTCTACACTTCCTGATCAAAGCAACTCGCCTGGCGATCTGTTTCTGGATGGTTTAGTGGGGATGCGCGAAGCGTCAAGGATTTGGTACAATGTTTGGTTTTGGTTTTTTCCAAAAGAACTCCCCCTGGGGCTTCGGTCCATTACGCCGGCCACCCGAAAGGCCGCACAATCCGCAGAACAACTGCCCACTTGCCTCTAAGACAGCCAAGATGGCCCAAGATGGCACCCAAGATGCCTCCAAGACGGATAAGATGGCCTCCAAGACGGCCAGGATGGCCTCCAAGACGGCTAAGATGGCCTCAAGATGCCGCCAAGACAGCCCAAGATGCACCCCAGGCTGCCTAGGATGGCCTCAATACGGCCCAAGACGGCCCAAGAGGCCCCCAAGAAGCCTCCAAGACGGCCCCAGAGGTCTCCAAAAGGGTATGCAGGAAGGCCTGAATAGGCAACAATCGTAGATTGCCCTTAGGTTTTTGACGGATTGTTCGTATTGGCTACTGCTCGGCCTTCCGACGGCTGAAGACCGCCCAAGAGGCTCCCAAGGTCGCCGCCAAGATCGCCCAAGAGGCCTCCAAGATGGCCCAAGAAGCCCCCAAGACGGTCACTAAGAGGGCCCCAAGGCTGCCCAAGAGGCTTCCAAGACGCCCAAAATGTCTCTACGACGGCCTTAAAGTGCCTCGAGAAAGTCGGTTCAGAGAGGCTCCCAAGATGGCTCCCGACGACGTCAGACGGGCCAGGAACGCCCTAAGACGGCCAAAGAGGTCCCCAAGACAGCCCTAAAGGCTTCTGAGAGGCCCACGGAGGCCCTCAAGACGCCTCCAAGAGGCCCCAAGATTGGCCAAAGAGGCTCCCATAGAGCCCTCGAGCCCTGCTCCTCCTACTTCTCTTCCACCTACTCTTTCATTCCCTCCGGATCCTACTAATAGTTTCCAGAGCGGCTGGGGGAACACATAGTCCGATAGATTAGCCAAGCTCGGGCCCAACGATTCGCCACAGAGGCTCTTCCCAAAAGGCAGGGGGCGGCGGTGATTCGCCGTAAGCGTCTTCGATATGTTCTCTAAATTTGTAAACAAAGACGCCTCCAACTCCAAGAGCGAGGCCGAGATCTCACGCTCGGTCCAGAACTGCATTTCAGTGAAGACCACCGTGATCATGCACTGCACGACACCCACGACTATGTACGCCCACACGCCCAGAAACCCCGCCAGCCTGATCAGCGTTCTGTACTGCTTCGCTATCGTCTGCAGGTTCTCCGCCTTCTCACCCCTCAGGGGCGCGGAAGCGTCCTCCAAGCGCTGGGATAGAAAAGACTGGCAGATCCGGGCGAAAGCGTAGACCGACGTGAACTGGAAGAGCTCCGCGAACGCCAAGCTCTGGTCATAGAGGGCCAATTGCTGCACCTCCGTGAATGGCAGCGTGCCTCCGAGGTCGCCGCCGCTTCCTGTCACTATCATCCACAGGGAGCAAGACGCGTGCATCGACATGGCCACGAAAACCATCGGAGCCATGACGAGCAGCAACAGCCAGTTCACCCTCGGCGGCAGAGTGTACTGGATATGCTGCATCGAGCTGTGCTGCAGAGCCACTTCGCGAGAGTCCTGGATGAACTTGCTAAATATGTGGAAGCCTGCAATTACAAAGGCCAGAAGTCCGAAGATATTGCAGAACATATTCAGTTCAGAGAGCCAACTGGGGATTCGCATACACTCCACGTAGCGATCGATATCGTTGAACGCTAGGCACGAATGATTGTGCGCCGTCGCGTGAATCAACGAATGAGTCGTATTGTATTGCTCCCGCACGTTACGAGCTGTCTGTTCGCCTGGTAAGACAGCATAATGAATTACCTCCCGCAACGACCAAATGGTCACTGTAGTGAGGCCGAGCAAAAACGGATTGTACCACTGCAACCAGAAGCCGAGTCCAATGCTGTGGACACACTCCTGCCAACGCTTGAACTTCAACAACCACCGCCACATCAGTACACCGATAAAAAATCAGCTGGCCCCCTTGGGGGAGCCAAGGCTGTGAGGTCTACCGCGGCGACGCAACAACTAACAAAGACAACCTTGGGAGGGGGGGCTCAACTTCCTGGCCGCTTTAATTTGCCCCAGGATTTACATTAGGATGCTACCGCGCGGCTAAGATGGACCAAGAGGCCTCGAACACAGCCACAGGAAGTCATGAGGAAGGCAGGACACCATTGACCACATGCAGAGATTACCCAAGACGGCCCCAAGGTGCCCGCCCAACGAGTCCAAACATTGGCCCCGAAGGCCGCAAGAAAACTCCAATATTCCCCAAGATGGCCCGAATGTGGCCCCAGCTGCCACAAGATATGCCCCCGAGCGGCCCCATGATATCCTAAGATGGCCCTCTATACTGCCCGAATGTAGCCAAAAGATGGTTTAGCCTGGGGCTGGCAGAGGGCGCAGCCATTTAGATAACAGAAAACGCGAAAAGTGGCCTGGCATGGTATCAGGAAGCTGCATTGTCTTCTTCTGGTACGGGCCATGCCTCCTAAGGTTCTCACGGGCCAGAACTTGAGCCAAATTCTCCTTCCTCTATCCTTTTTCCTCTTCCACCTCCGCCCTCCTCCTTCCTGTGCCCTCCCCCTCGTCCACCCTCCCTCTGGCCCATGGCCCATCCCGTTCAGTTCCCAATCTCCCCTCTGCCCTTCCCCCGGCTTCTTCGTCCTGCCTCCGCGCCTCCTCGTCCTCCTGCACGGCCTCATCATCCACTCCTTTCTCTCCTGTTATGCACTGGCATATCCACCACCGTGCCCCGAGCCACGAAGTGGAGTGTTCCCCAGGTCCTGGAAAGTTCGATGTACTCTGCATCCGATATTCTTATGATTCTAGTCGCGTAAGGGCCCCAAATCTGCCGACCCTGTCGGCGTGTGAGAGACGCTATTTCGTTGGACTGGTCGTCGTCGACGCCGCCGTCGCCGCCCCCCCCCCTCAAGCGCGCCGGCCACAGCGAAATTGAGCAACGTCTTAGTTGATTCGAGGGGAAGGCCCATCCTTTTGATCCCTTCCCCGCTGTGGGCGGGGGGTCCCTGGGGCAGGTCTCAGGGGGGGCCCAGGGTCAGAATACCCTTCCCCCAACGCGGGGAGTCCCAGGGAACCATTTGACAGTGGCGCCCACTGCCAATGTCAAACGAGAATCTGGGGGGCATTTGACCGTGGGGCCCACTGCCAAACGAGAAAATGAATGGCCCGGGGGCCCACTAGACACCGACACCTGGGCCGGCACAGAAACGGAAAGAGCGCTTCAGAAACAGAAACCGGAATTACTCACACCACCGTTCGTACTGGGAGCCTTGGCGTTGAGAGCTTGTTACGTCACCCCTCGCTCTTGGGAGCCTTGGTGTTCAGTGATTACTGCGCTGCCGCCCGTTTCCTGAGCCTTGGCTGGGCCTTGGTGTCAGGAACTGATTACATCACCGCTCTCTGCTGGGAGCCTTGGTCTATCAGCTTGTTTACGTCACCGTTTGCTCTTGGGAGCCTTGGTGTGAAGAGCTTTTTGCGTTACCGATCGCTCTTTACTTGGCGTCTCTCGGCCTTCTTGGGGGTCCTATTGGGGTCCTTTTGGTTCCCTTTGGGGGGCCTCTTGGGGGCCTCTTGGGGGTTCTTGGGGGGCTCTTGGGCCTCCTGGGGGCTTCTTGGGGCGAAAGGCTAGACTTTTCGGTTCGTGGTCCCCCTCTTGGGGCCGTCTTGGGGCCCTCTTGGGCCGTCTTGAGCGCCTCTGGGGCCGTCTTGGGGCCCTCTTGGGCCGTTTTGGGGGACTCTTGGGAGCCTCTTGGGCCGTCTTGAGGCGGTCTTGGGGGCCTCGTGGACCGTCTTCAACACCGTGAAAGCCGAAAAGCCGCGTATGCTAAACATGTACGTTTTCCGATAAGAATTTCATGATTTTGGCCTCTTGGTGGCCTCTTTGGACGCCTCTTGGGGGCCTTTTGGGGCTTCTTGGAGATCGTCTGCATCCCTCGGAACGAGCGGAAGTTGCGCAAGCTCTTCAACCGCAGCTTGCACGGCCTGGGCCCGAAAGGCCCGATCCGCGCTGGGGGCGCCGAGGGAGACGCTGAGCAGGACGCTGGGCGGCTCCCAGGCGTGAGCTTCCCGCCGCCAAAGGCAGGCGAGAAGGCCGGCGCCGGGAGACGGCCCAGGAAGCCGAAGACACCCGCCAGTGGGACGCCGGCCAAGAAGGCTTACCCCGCGGGGAAGAGGCTCGCCGCAGGGGAGATCACAGAGTCGGCGCAGCACGCCCCACGCAACCAGGCAGGCAAGATCCTGTGCTGGGATGCGTGCACGTGGATGGGCTGCGCCAAGACCAACCAGACATGCGCACATGCGCACGAGGCCATCAAGGGCATGGGGGGGCTGCACTGGACCGTGCAAGCACAGTTGGTCAAGCGCGGAGGCCTGAAGTCCGGGACTCGCGCGGGGCCGAAGGACGAGGGCGGGCGCGCGCAGCAGCTGCGCGCACAGGCCAAGAGCGAGGACGAGTCCAAGCGAGCTGGCGCCGCGCAAGCGCAGGCGGGAGCCGCGCAGGCGCAACCCAAAGCCGCGGCGGGGGCCCCGCCGAAGCGCGAGGGCTGCGCCGGCCCAGCGGTCGACTGGAGCGCGCCGGCAGCCTACGACGAGGTTCAATGCACCGCGATGGAGAACGGCCTGAGGGAGGCAGTACAGGGGCCAGACCATTCCTGGCTCCTCGACGCCCATGCGGACCGCCCCTGGGTGTACAGCACCAGCAAGTGCGACCACTCCGAGGCCATCAAGCGGAAGACTCTGATCGACGAGGTGCAGAGCAGCGGCGTGCTCGACAAGCTCCAAGAGACCAGCGACTACCTCAAGTCCCACATCCTGGCCAGGCTGACCCAGGCCAAAGCAAAGGGGGCCATGCTCGAGCTGGAGCAGGCGCTGCTGGAGGCCACCCGCGATGGAGTGCCCACTCTCGCGGAGGAGGCGGGCGCGGTGCTGGACGGGATAGGCGCCAAAGCAGGCAACCTGGGCGGGGAGCCCGGAGCCCGACGTGGTGATCAGCCCCGCGGCCTGGGACGAGGCCCGCGAGACTGGCACGGGGACCGTGAAGCTGCTCGGTCAGGCGTGGCGGTATCGGGACTATCAAGACAAGCTGCCCTTGGAGCCGGAGCTCGCAGCACGCCTGGGGCCCCCGGCCGACGCCTACGAGGAGCGGCAGCGCCTGGTCCTACATCTGGCGGGCGCGCTCTTGGGCGAGCACGGCCACGACCCGTCCATCACCGAGGTGCGCGAGTTGGCCGTGGTCCTTCGCCGGTCCCTCTGGGGCCAGGCGACGGCTACCGCTGCTGCGCTGGGCGACCCACCTCCCTTTGTCTCTCCGCGGGAGGCGGAGCTGAGGATGTGCTGTCATGACGCGCTGATGCCCCATCACGATAAGGATTTCTGATGCATCACGCTGTTCACCCTCCCGGAGCCCCAGGACGTGACGCTCCGTGTTTGGAGGGTGAACCACTGGAACCAGCTGGGCCTGGACACCCTCCTGCCTCAGAAGGTCGGGCAGCGCGAGCTCCACGCGATGATCCACAAGGGACACATGCGCATGCACCGACCCCCGCCCGGGATCGACGGACGGCAGGCCACCGGGGAGGTGATCAAGACCTGGGCCTTGGCCGGGAAGGAGTTGCGAGAACGCCTCACGACCGGCTGGGAGATGTACCTGGAGACCGAGGACGCGGCAGGCCCTGTTATTCCCAGCTGCCCACCGCCCTGCGCCCACTGCAAGCGTCAGCAGGCTGCAGTATGCGAGATTAGGGAAGGCGCAGGCGGCGAGACCCCGACGACAGCGGTGGAGGAGGATTTGAACTTTCAGCAGCTGGTGCCCCTGCTGCGCCGACCCGCGTTCGCGTGGGGTGTCAGGGCGAGGGAGATCTTCGCCAGCACAGGGCGCTGGTCAGCGGCGATGGCCGATGCCGGATTCCCTGCGTCAGAGTCCGTGGAGCTCTACGAGCAGCCGCTCTCACAGACAGGGCCGCGGGCAGACCACAACGTGCTGCGCCCAGAGGTGCGGGAGCGCATCCTGCTGGACGCGGGCGCGGCGCCGGGCCCGGAGGAGGCGAACGTCTGGCAGCTGGGGCCGCCGCGCATTACCCACTCGGCCTGGATGCTGGCGAGCGGAGGGGCACGAACATTCGAGGAGCCTGACGGCGACGGCACCGACCCGGAGGAGGTGACCTCGAACGGAACGTCTGCAGCGAGTTCGCGGCCGACGTCGCCGAGCGGCTCGACGTGAACGACCGAGAGTGGCTCCTCGAGTCCAGCTGCAGGAACGGACGGTACCCCAAGATCTGGGACCACAAGCGCATCAAACTCCTCATCGAGAGGACGGGGGCGAAGATCATCACGATCGCGATGTGCGAGTGGGGCCTAGCGCCCCCGGACCAGCCGAGCAAGAGGTACCGGAAGCTGACGATGTGGCTCGTGAGCAGAGGCCTGTACCCGTGGGCCCTCGCCTTGGCGAGGAAGTGCTCGGGGCGACACGAGCACGTTCCGCTGCAGGGCCCCCTGCCTTACGACGTCTCCGACGAGCAGGCGGCCGATTTCAACGCCAGAGGCGAGACCCCGCTCACCGAGGCGGAGCGCCGGAGGGTTCGGAGCCTGCTGAACCGCATCACGTTGGCCGGGATCGAGGCGCAGGGCCTCGGCGATGACAAGGAGTGGAGACAGCCAATCCTCGGGACGGAGATGCTCAGGCCGCTGAATGACCTGATCTTCAAGATGGCGCCCGACAATTTCCACTGGGCGCTCATCGAGGTCAAGAGCGAGGACCGGCGCCTGCCCCCCCTCGAGGCTGGGAAGCAGGCCCTCTTCTTCGGCTTCGACCAAGACGGGCACTTCCGGACTACCTTCGGCGCCCGAGCCCCATGGCTTCACCAGGGAGCGCGGGCCATCGGCGGGGCGCCCGCACCGCTGAGCCAGCAACGCAGAGGAGAGCTGGAGGCACTCGGCTTCCGCGCGGGGCTGCGCGGCATGAGGAGGACCCGCCACGCCGGGCAGTGCACGCCCAGGCTGTGTGCGGCGTGGGCCTGCATCCTGAAGGCAGCAGCCCACGGCTCCCCTCCCAGCGCGCTCCAGAACAAGCTGGACGCGCTCGGCAAGGAGGCGAATGCGGGGGCAGATAAGGCGGCGAGGGCCGGCGAGAGCCTGGTGGAAGATGCGCCACGCCTCACAGGACGGTGGCACAGCGACACCATCGAGCGCTACCAGACCCCCCCCCTACTTTTCGACGACTTTCCACAGCAGCAGCCAGGGCCCGGCTCAAAGGGCAGGGCGGACCCGCGCTCAAAAGGCGCGATCGAAGACACGGCGGCGGAGGAGGACCTGGCGGACCCGCACTCAAAAGGCACGGGCGAGGACACGGAGGTGGAGGAGGGCACGCAGATCGGGGAGGTCAGCGGCGAGAAGGTGGGCGCCGCCAAGGACGACACGCAGGATGGCAAGCGCGGGGGCAAGCGTGGGGGCAAGCGCGGTCGCAAGCGCGGGGGCTGGAAGCGCCACAAGGCCTCGAAGAGAGAAGCGGAGGAAGGCCAGGCGCGGTCCAAAAAGGCCCCGAGTCGCCTGACAATCGCTCGAAGACGCCCCAGATGGCCTCCGAAACGCCCCGAGTGGCCTCCTAAGAGGGGGCCCAAGGAGGCAACGGTCATTGATTTCTCTTCGCCCCCGAGACCGCCCCCAAACGACCTCAGAGGCCTTTCAAGGGCCCCAAAGCGGTCTAAGCGCGCCCCAAGATGGCGTCAGGGGCGCCGAAGAGGCGCCCAAGACAGCCCAAGACGGCCCAAAAAGAGGCCCAGGAGATGGAGCACGACCCGAAAATCAAAGCCTTCCTCCCCGAGCGGCCCCCAAGAAGCTCCCAGAAGGCCCCGAGAGGCCCCCGTGAAGTGCAAAACGAGCCCACCAAACGGCCCCCAAGAGGCATCAACTGCCTCCAAGCGGCACCCGAGAGGCCCCTCGCGAGATCCCAGCGAACTCCCACCAAGCGTCGCACCCACAACCCAAGCGCGGTGGCGGGACTTGCCGTAGGCAGCTGGACACACAGCACTGGAACGGCCACTAACCGGGCTGTCGGGGTCGTTCGTCGGGCAGCTCTCGTAGATGGCGCTCGGCCGCGGCTGGTGGCGAACATTCTGGGAGTCGGCGTCCACCCACAAGGCGCGAGCATCTTCGGGGTCGGGGATGTTCGGCTCGACGGCGAGCGGCGCGGCAGCGCCCTTCCCCTCGCGCCGCGTGGGCGGGATGCCCAGCCAGGCCCTGGGGCCCGCGAAGTCGTTGATCTCTGTCTCTTGGACGAGCTGCGCGGGCATCGCCGCGGCGCTGATCGCGGCGGCGCCGCGGCCCCCGCCGGCGGACGCGAAGCACTCGTTGGGCACAGGCAACCCCAGCGCGAGCGCATGACAGGTGGCGGGGCCGCTGGTGGCGGGGGCGGGGGCAGGGCAGCAGCGCGCCCGGGAAGACCGTCGGGGGGGCATCGGAGGCCTGGGATGAAGGCCATTAGGACGTAATCGTGCCTAGCGACGACAACGATGAATGCCCAGTCGTGTTGTCCGCGCCGCCCACGGTGCCCCACCAGCAGCGACGGCTGCCAATGGGGTGCCGCGGCCGCCGTCAGTCAGTCAGTCAGTCAGTCAGTCAGTCAGTCCGAGGCACGCTTTCGTAGGGAATCCCTGGTGGTCGTGCGCTGGCAGCAATGCTGCCGGGCTGCATCCCACCACTGCCGATACAGTCACAGCCCCCCGAGCCACGCCGAATGCTGCCACTGCAACTCTTCATCACCTCGACATGTCGAATGCTAATGGCTCCTGCCGTCTTCTGGAGGCTGGCGGAATGGCACAAGCTGTTTGAGTCCCGTGTCTTGCGCTAAATTCGAATTCATAGGATGGGTAGCCTTCCCAAGGGTACCCTTGCATCCTTGCCTTTTCGGTCCATCATTGACCACTTTTGATGGCCTGCCCCGCTCGAACATGAGCGTCCAAGGGGCTTGCATCCTAATCGGGTGTCCTTACTGTCGTTTTTGACTGTAGCCCGGATGCTGGGCCGCATCTCGCCTCAGCTGGTACGGCGACAATGACGGCGGTCGGCAGCTGAAGTCCAGAGCGGGTCCAAATGCAAAGGTTTCTGGAGCGCCGCGGCGTCCCAAACACTGGGAGAGCGAAAACTGATCGCTTGCCAGGCGAACCACTAGGGTGCAATTGGCGTGACCATGTCTCTAGGCCTCCCGAATAGGATCCAAACAGATGGGGTCGAAGGATCGCGCCGCATCGCCGATGCATCGGCGACGCGGCAAGATTTGGAACCCGATTTTCTCAGCGCAGGCGTTGCCGATGCACCGCCGACGTCGACGATGCATCGCCGATGCATCGTCGATGCATCGGCGATGCATTGGCCTCGACCTCATTTAGTCTGACCTCATATAAGCGGCCTCTGATCTTAGGAGAATTTGAAGGCCACCACCACCCTGAACCAAGAGGGCCCTGCTCCCTCCTTGAGAGGGGTTCTGCCATCAGACCCTTGCGTCGCAAAAATATCGAAGGCCTGTTCTTCTACACATGTTCTGCATCTGGAGCCCGTCTCCAGCCCCGGGACTGTCAAAAACGGCTCAGGATGCCCAGGGAAGAGATCGAGAACCCTGTGGGTGGCAAGTCACAAAACCGTTGAGACGTCGGAGGATAGCGGAAGGGGAGTCTTCCACAAGCTCGAGGCATTGTGACTGGTAAGATGCCCAACGGGCGCCAGACTCTCGATCTCAGCAAGCAAGGCCTCACGCATTGTCCATCTTGCTCATGTAGCAGCACAAGTCGACGAGGCGATTGGAGTATCCCCATTCATTGTCGTACCAAGTCACCAACTTCACGAAGTTATCGTTCAACGAAATGCCGGCTCCGATATCGAAAACGGAGGAAGCCTTGCAGCTCACGAAGTCGGTAGACACAACTTCCTCGTCCGTCCAGTCCTGAAAAGGCAGACTGATCCTGGCTATGATCCCTCTCGTTATCGGTTGTCTTGTCACGACCCCTCCTACCTCTAAAACTCTCTCTCTCTCTCTCTCTATATCTCCCCCCTAAGTCACTAATCCCTGGCTCCCTCTCTCTCTCTCTCTCGCTCGCGTTTTCTCGCTATCTTTCCATATTGTGTGTCATCTCTGTTTGTCACCCTCTCTTTCTCTCTTTCTCGCCCTCCCTCTTCTATCCATAGATTTTAACGTTTACAGATACATATGAATGGGCATACATGTGTATATATATATGTATATGTATACACACAAACGTTGACAAATAGCTGCACATGTACATTTACATATACAGATTCATGCATATTGGTATACAGATCCATACATATACAAATACCAATACCTATACCTATAGATCTACGGTAAAGGGGCGCTCCTGGGATATACCTTGCGTCGTTCTTGATACGACGTCATGTGAACATGATGCCATGGAACACAAAATTACTGAATTTACAATCTTCAAGGTGGTGTGTGATAGCGTTCGAAATCTTTCGAATTGAATCCCTTTGTGGGGCTCTACTCATGAACTTGTGTAGTACAGGATACATTCGAAATCCTTTGGTATTTACTTCCAAATTGATGATTTGTGTGCGGCCTTCAAATCCAATTCCTTCGTGCCTGCCTCCAGGGGGAGGGGTAGGCCTGGCCGACGAAAAAAAGACAACAACGACAGATTGGGAGACCAACAAAAACGCTGTTTTAAATTGTGTTTTTTATGTGTAAACCCACAGCCACAGACACACCCAAGCTTTGGAAGCAGGGACAACATGTGTTTTCACAGTGTTTGCGCATTTGCACAGTGACTCCACTTGCACAGTGGCTCTCACCTACAATTCCTTTGGGGGGGAACTGCAAATTGTTCCCCATAGTGTCTAAGAAACACACCAAATCCTGTTGTGCAGGCGTACGCTTTGATTTCTGTTGCGGCCTTCACATAAAATGCCGTTGTGTCTGGCTCAGGTGGAGGGAAGGGGGGCGGGCTAGCCGACAAAAAACAACAACTACCATAACGGCAAACAAATGCTGGGGATTGACAAAACCGTGTGTTTTGAATTGTAAATTGGTTTATACATGTAAACCACAGGCACAAAAAAAAAACACTCCGACGGTAGGACCCCGCATGATAATATCTTAACATTGCCTGGGGATCTCCTTCTGCCCCCTCCCTTCTCCCACCTACTCCTGCCTCCTCTTTTTCCTCCTGCCTGCTCCTCCTCCTCCCTCAACCCCTGCATCCTCCTCCTCTTGCCTCCTCCACCACCTCCTCCTCCTCCTCCTCCTCCTTTTCCCTCTCCCTCTCCCCCCTCCTCCTCCTCCTCCTCCTCCTCCTCCTCCTCCTCCTCCTCCTCTCCTCCTCCTCCTCCTCCTCTTCCTCCTCCCCCTCGTCGTCGTCCTCCTCGTCGTCGTCGCCTCTCTCGTCGTCGTCCTCCTCCTCCTCCTCCTCCTCCTCCTCCTCCTCCTCCTCCTCCTCCTCATCGTTCTCCTCCCCTCTCCCTCCTCCTCTCCCTCTCCCTCCTCCGTTTCCTCCTCCTCGTCTCCATCATCCTCCTTTTCCTCCTCCTCCTCCTCCTGCCCCCTCCTTTGGCCTCCTGCCTCCTCCAGGGGCCTCCTGGGGCCTTTTGGGGCCTCCTGGAGCTTTCTGGGCCTCGCGGGACGCCGGAGTGTCGGAGTGCGAACCCCCTAAACAGGAACCCTCTGGATCCTTGGCCCTTGGGGCACCCTGGCCACCCTAGCAAAAACGGTCCCCATGTGCTTTCCGGGGCTCCTGAAGCCCCCTGCTGGGCCTTGGCATCGGGCCCAAATCGGTCAGGAGGGCGGCTCGACGGCCCCGCGAGAGCCCACCACGGCCCCACGCACACACCAGACGCCTGAAGCGACCCAAAGAAGACCCACAAGAGGCATTCGAAACGAAAACAAACATTAACTTCTAAACATGTATACATGATTTGGGGAAGGATCGGTTCTTCGGTATTTTGGGCGTCCGAGACTGCCCAGGAGGCAAGGGCATCGCCACAAATCTAACCAAGAGGGTTTCCAGGCAGTCCAATGGCAGCCCCAAACGGCCCAACAGGGCCCCAAAGTGGCACAATGAGAAACCCATGAAGACCCAAGTTGGCCCCAAGACGCCTCCCGAATCATTCCAAATCGTGGCCCGGTCGCCCAGGGATACCGCAGTTGGAAGCAGGCTGGCCTGGGGAAGCCCCCAGTGCCTCCCAAAAAAAAACAGGAGGCTTCCAGAAGGCCCCAACAAACCCTCTAAAAACATCAATGTGAGTTACAGAAGGTTCTTCCAGGATGGGCCTTTCACAACAAAAATAAACATGATGTCGAAATCGCAAGATAAGACGATAGTGTGGAAAACGAAAAAACATGAGGAACTGATAACGAATAATAGTCGTATAGCGATGATGCCAACATGGGTAAACAAACGAGTTGTCGATACATGTTGTTTTAGGTGATTGCCTTCCTGCCTACGTAAAGAACCGGGAGGATCCAAGTGCACGGCGCCAAGCGCCGATGCAGTTTTGCATGTGCATGTCAAACGTTGGAGGGCGATATCACAATGAGACAGAATCCCCCAACTGAGAAATCGTTTCGTTTCGTTTGTGTCGCGCGTGCGGGCGAGGCAAAACTGCGTAGGCGCGCGAAGGGAATGAACCCGACGGTGCTAGGGCGAAGTCAACACAAATGATTATCGCCCGTCCGTCCGTCCGGCGGTGGTTCGCGGTGTCCCGTGATGTCCGCCGCTGCTAGGGCGAAGTCAACACAAATGATCATCCCCCGTCCGTCCGCCGGCGGTGGCTCGCGGTGTCCCGCGGTGTCCCTTGGTGTCTCGTGGTGCTCCGTTGAATGAAATCGATGGTGAAGTCGATAATGAAATCGATTGTGATATCGATATTGAGATCGATGTGGTGCCCCGAAGTGACCCGTGGCGTCCGAATAGCGAAATCGACGGTGAAATTGATAGTGAAATCGACCGGTGTCCCGCGGTGCCCCGTTGAGTGATATCGATAGTAAAATCGACACTGGGATCGACGTCGTGCTCCGACGTGCCCCGCGGCGCCCCAAAAAGAGGAATCGATAGTGGTATCGATGGTGAGATCGACAAATGTCCCGTGGCGTCCCGATGTGCCCCGTGGAATGAAATCGATCGTGGGATCGATAGTGAGATCGATAGTGAGATCGATGCGGTGTCCCGAGGTGCCCCGTGGTGTCCCGTCGACGGAAATCGATCGTGAGATCGATAGTGGGACCGATAGCGGGATCGAGAAGTTTCCCGCAGTGTCCTGCGGTGTCCCGTCGCGTGAGATCGATCGTGGGATCGATGGTGAAATTGACTGGTGACCCGCGGTATTCAATTGTCCCGTTGAGTGAATGAAACCGATAGTGAGATCGACCGAATCAAACATTTAACCCCCCCCCCCCCCGGCGCAACCTCCTCATCGCCCGAAAAGATGGTCGTAAAAGGTGTGTGCGTGTGTGTGTGCGTATGTACATATATATATATATACACATATACATACACATATGTATATATACATATATATATGTATATATACACAAATGTACACATAGTGCGCATAGACCGCGCGCGTGCGCGCGAGTGCGTCCGCTCAGTGGCCCCCCTCGAATCCAAGGTTGGGCGTGTCTTTGGGGGGCAAACTCTGTTTCTCTGCGCGGGCCCAAAACCCTGATGAAGGACTGATTCATGCCTGCGCTGGATTTCTGATTCAAGTCTGGCCCTCAGCGCCATCTCCGATTCAGGTCTGACTGGAACTCTGACTAAACTCTGGCCCAACGGCCCAAGTCTGATTTAGGAAGTCTGATTATGCTTCGGTATGGGCCCGCCGAAACCGACGTCGCGGCGTCGGCCCAGAACGCTGCCGGGTCGGCCCCGTGCGCATGCGTTTTCAAGAACAACAGAAGGAATGCTGGGGGCCCAGCCGCCAGCTGCCACGCACAGCGAACTGGGCCCGTCTGCGCACGCCGCCCTGCGGCAACGCTCAGGTAAGGCCTGCGCGGGGGGCGCGGGGCAGCGCCCCCCGCCTGCGCGGCCCTGCCCGAAACTGCTCAATGGCAACTGGGGCGAAAAAAGGCTCACCCGAGGCTCGCTCCTCAGGGCGGCCGGCTGCCACGCCGCGACAAGATGCGCATCGCAGTGACCGCCCCAATCCCCGCCGCCCGCCCGGGACAGGTCGGGGGCAGGGCGCGCGGAGGGGAACCGCTGCACTTTTCGGGCGGCTCGGGGGCGCGGGAGGTGCGCTGGGAGGCGCCCGGAACGAAGGCGGGGACAAGAGGCAAGGGCCGGTAGGAACGATCGCGAGGACGAAAGCGGAGGCGAGGGCAGGAACCGGGGTGGGAACGGGGGCGGGGGCGATGGGCGAGAACGCGGGCGAGAACGAAAGCAAGAATGAGGGTGGGAACGAGGGCGGGAATGAGGGCGAGAACGAGGGCGGGAACGAAGGCGGGGGCGAAAGCGGGAACATCAACGGCGAGAACGAGGGAGACAAAGAGGGCGGGAACGAGGGCGGGGGCGAGGGCGAGAACGAGGGCGAAAACCAGGGCGGGAACGAGGACGGGAACGAGGGCGGGAGCGAGGGCGGGAACGAGAGCGAGAGCAAGGGCGGCAGAGACGGCTGGGGCGACGACGGGAGCGACGGCGGCAGCGAAGGCGAGAACGAGGGCGGGAACGAAGGCGGAAACGAAGGCGGGAACGAGGGCGAGAACGAAAGCAAGAACGAGGGCGAGAACGAGGGCGGGAACGAGGGCGGGAGCGAGGGCGGGAACGAGTGCGGGAGCGAAGGCGGGAATGAGGGCGGGGGGCCGCCTCTGGGCGCCTCCGGGATTATTCTGTGCTTCGGGAATTCCCCGGGCGCCTCCGGGGAACCTCCGGGGAACCTCCGGGGAAACTCAGGGGAACTGGGGGACCTCCGGGGAACCTCCGGGAGGTCTGTTTGGAGTGTGTTTGGGGTCTGCTTGAGGTATGTTGAATGTATGTTTGAGGTATGTTTGAGGTCTGTTTGGGGCAAAACTCTGATGAAGGTTTGTTCGAGGTCTGTTTAAGGTCCACTTGAAGTCTGTTTGATGTCTGGCCGAACCTCTGTTTCAAATCTGATTTCCCCGGCAGGCCTCTGGGATCCCTGGGCGGCCTCCGGGCGGGCACGGAAAGAGGGCGAGAACGAAGGAGGGTGGAAACGAGGGCGGTAACGAAGGCGACAACGATGGCGGGAACGAAGGCGGGAACGAAGGCGGGAACGAGAGCGAAAACTAAGGCGAAAACAAAGGCGGGAACGAAGGCGGGAACGAAGGCGGGAACGAAGGCGGGAACGAAGGCGGGAACGAAGGCAAGACCGAGGGCGGGAACGATGGCGGGAACGAGGGCAAAAACGAAGGCGGGAGCGGCGGGAACGAGGGCGGGAACGACGGCGGGAGCGAAGGCGAAAACGATGGCGGGAACGAAGCGTGGAACGAGGGCGGGAACGACGGTGATAGCAAGGACGGGATCGAACGCGAAGGCGAGAGGAACATGAAAATGGAAAATGGCCTCGAGCGGGGGGGGGCGAGGGCGGGCGCGGAGCGGAGGGCGGAGACGAGGTCGGGCGCGGGACCTGGAGCGAGGGGGGAAGCGAGGGCGAAAACGAGGGCGGGGCACTGAGGCCAAGGGGCGAAGACTGACGCTCAATGCGGAGGAGGGGGAGGGGGAGGGGGATGAGGAGGACGAGGAAGAGGAGGAACAAAACGACGAAGGGAGGAATGGGGGCCGAGGGCAGAGGAGGGACAGCACGTGGAGGGTGACGGTGACCGAGGAAGGAGGAAACGGGATCAGGGAGGCCAAGGGGGGAGGAAGAAGAGGAGAGGTGGTGGAGGATAAGGGAGGGGATAAGGGGAGGAGGGAGGAGACAAACTGAGGAGGAGGGGAGGGGGAGGGGGAAGGAGGGACGCGAACGGGGGAGGAGGGAAAGGGAAGGAGAGGGGATCGGAGGAAGGAGGGCGCGGATAGACGAGGTAGGAAAGAGAGCGAGGGGAGGAGGGAGGATGGGCAAGGAGAGAGGAAACGGTAGAACATGGGGGGAAGGAGGACCTCGCCGCAGGATGGGGGTAATCCCCCCATCCTGCGGCGAGGCCCTCCTTCGTTTGCAGGAAGACAAACGCACATGCGCAGCGCGCCCCGCGCCCTCTGCCCGGGACTGCCACAACTCTTATGGTACTCTGATTCGGCTCTGTTTCGGCTCTGGTCTGAAGGTCTGATTCATCTCTGGTTTGGCTGAAACTCTGGTTTGGTCAGGCCTGAATCTCTGATTCATCTCTCTGGTTTAGCTGAAACTCTGATGTTGCTCTGGTCTGGAACTCTGGTTTAACTGTGATTTAGCTATGGCTGGGGGCAGAGCCGAACCAGAGTCAAATCAGGGTTCAGGCCAAACTTAAATCAGCGTTTCAAACCAAATCAAAGATGCAACAGGGTTCCGGGTCATAGTTGAATCTGAGTTGAATCTGAATAATAATAATATGTTTTGTGACTTTAGCTTGCGAGGCTAGTTTGCCTCTAACATACACACTCCAATCCAGGGCGAGCCCCAGAGCGCACCCCCAGGCGACCTCCCTCTACCCTTGGCGACACCGCACGGCCAAGACACCCACACCTCCCACCAGTAGCTGCTTCTCGTCCTTCCCCCCGAGCGTGTACCGCCATGGCGCCCGTCCGTGCCCCTCGCGCTGATCCCGTCCGTGCCTCGCGCTGAGCCCTTCCCAAGAGAAGACCGTACGCAGCCCGGCCCGAGACGTGAAATCGCGCGCGACGGGACACGGCCTGAGGGCGGCGGGGGATGATCGTGCAACGGCAGCCTATGACAGGGGGTGGCCAACCAAGCCCCCGACGAGATCGAACGCGTCTACCAACAACACCGCCACCAGCCTGACCAGCTTTGGCCAGCAGCAGATCAGCTGGACACTGGCCCCCCACGAGCGAGCACGGCAGGGTCGCCAACGCCGCGCGGACCAGCCTCCGAGCTCAGGCCGACGCGGCGACTCTGCCACGAGCCTGACCCGCCCCTCATGAGCATCTCGGGAATTTACTGACCTGGGTCAATCTAGACCCGGGCCAGTCAGGCTTTGCAGGGTCCTGCAAGATCCTGCAGGATCCTGCACGCAGACCCAGGTCAGTGCAGCCCTGACCCTGCAGGGTCCTGCAAGATCCAGCGCTCTGGCTGACCCCCGTTTGCATCGACCCCCGTCTCAAGGCCCCCGAGCATCGACGCGGCCCACTGTTCCGCGCCCGTCGTCGTTCGGACAGCGCGCAACCCATGCGGGAACGAGCTCCTCGGCAGCATCTCCCTCCATGGCCACAAGGAGGGGGGGCGCCTGCTGGATCAGCCGCACCTGCGAGACGAATCCTTGGCCATCTCGGTCTCAGGGCCGAATAACACCCTCTACCGAGGCATGGATATGGCCATCCCCGTGCTGCGACGGACGGCCGCGGCCAGCGTCACGTGGATGCGCATCACCAGCCACGAGGTCGAAGCTACTGCGGAGGTTGACGCACTCTAAGGGCTATTCATTCACTGAGCAGCTATTAGGAGCCGCCCCCATCATTAGTCCTGGCCAACCGACCCAGGAAGGGCAGACGCCATCCCAAATGGATCGCAAGGCTGACAACAATTGAACCAAACGCGCGCAAGACGAAACCTTCACGACGCTCGCGCGGCAACCTTCCAAAACCAATTCGCCGCCGAGACGATCCGCGAGTCCCCCTATCCAGCTAAGCAACCACGGAGATGCAACAAGAAAACGGAAACGCACGGCCACCTTCAGGGGGTCACGGAGTCCGGATCGGGCCTCCAGGGGCCAGCGCGAAAGGAAGGCCAGCCGCCTCGAGTTCTTCGCGGCGAAAAACGCTTGACGAGGGCGAGGAGGGCATGGTGGACCTCTTCGGAACCTGGCCGCGCTCTCCTTGAGCTCCATCCCGGGAGGCGCTCGCGGAGGTGTTCCCATGCCCTATAGGGCCCCCCTCCTCCTCCTCCTCCTCCTCCCCCCCTCCTCCTCCTCCTCCTCCTCCTCCTCCTCGGCCGCCATGTCCTGCTCTAGCCTCCCCTTTCGCGCGCCAACAGGCAATCCACGCAGAGCAGCTTCCGCCCTCGGGGCACCTTCATGATATGCCAGCGCGGCTGGTCATTCTCGATTCTTTCGTATCCATCTGGATGCCATTAAAGAGATGGGTTATGTACAATCCACTCTCGATGGTGGCACCGTTAAGAAGTATGGAGATTTCTCGGCAATTCAGTGCAGTCGACGTCGTCATGCTACCAGCTACGAGATGGCGTCAGCACGACCCCAGCAGCACCGTGGACCAGCTCCAGACACACAAGCACCGCATCTGCGCATGGGGCTATGGTCGTGGACCGCTCACCAACAGTCATGCGGGGGTCGCCATCATGATCAGCAGCCGCTTCCGCGCCAGGTGCATTACCGAGCTGCCGAGTCCCCCTGCGTGCATCCAAGGACGCGCAGGAGCTCTACGACTACGTCGGGGCGAACTCGACCTCACCTTCACAGTTGCGCACCTACCGCCGCGGTCGGGAATGACCGCCCAGTGCACGCCGCGGGTCAAGACAGTCAACGAGACTCTTGAGTGGATCAATAAGACGCTCAGTGCTACACCTGCACGCAGCACGCCCGTCATCGGCCTGGACCTTAATGACCACTACGGGCTCGACGGCGTCATCCCAGCCACGCCCAGCAACGTCATCGGATATGCTGGACCAGCTGGAGTACCAGGAGAAGCAGCAACGGCTTTCCACAACATGCTCGACGTTCACGAGCCGTGCATTCTCAACACCTTTTGGCAGGCGGGGCCGACCTACTTCGGCGCACAAGGTCAAGCTACGCGGCCCGACTACACTGCAGTACCACAAGGACTACGAGCACACATCCGGCCCTGCAAGGTCTGGTGGTGTGCAGCCAAAGCTCTCCAACTGATCAATGACAGCGTGCCGCGTGACCGCGTGCCACTGGTTACGACAGCGGATATTTGCATGCCTAACATCTTCACAGACAAACAGCACACCGCATGGGACTACGACAAGATGGCACAATCGCTGCAGACAGGGGTGTACCGCCGCGGGTTCATCGAGGATCTCGAAACCAACCTGATGGCGAACAAAGAGGCGCTGCAGGAGCTGGCGGCGGCGAACACCACAGACGACCCCTGGGAGTTCCTGGTGCAGATCGTCAAGGACACAGCCAAGCCGTACTTCGAGCGCAAGAGTAAGAAGCCAGGCGCCCTCCAGCAGTTGATGCAAGACACGCCCCTCCTCCTGCGCGAGCGTGCGGAACTACGTCGACAGTGCATTGCAGGGGAAGCAGACGACAGCGGCATCAGGTACAAGTTAGAGGTTCTCACCAGGGCGATCAAGAGGCAGAAGAGACTACATGATGCTGAACGACGACGTCAGCTAGAGCCCCTCATCCAAGAGGCCTGGCGCAAACGCGAACAAGCTCAAGTGCATCGACTCACGCGGCTGCTGGCGGGCACCAACTACGGCAAGCGCAACCGCAACTACAGCAGGGCCACGCGTGCACGCCCCAGCTTGGAGGAATGGTCTGATCACGTGGCGCAAGAGGGCCAGCATGGCGGGTTTGCCGCCCACCCGATCGACCTCGACGAAGAGAAGCAGGCCCTCCAGCACAGCACGCTGGAATTCACGGCGGAGCACAACCTGCAGATCAGAGCCGAGTACGAAGAAGCCAGGGACCACCTCCGCAGGACCGTCTTCGGCCTGAAGAAGAGGCTCAAGTACTTCAAGAAGAGGGCAGCCGTGCCCGAGTGGCCCCTACCTGCCGAGATCTACCAGATGATTATACAGCCCACCACCATCACCAAACCCAAGCCCCAAACGTCAGGCGTCGGTTACGACGACGTGCTCGCGTAAAAGTGATTCGAATCCGTCCTCAACCGCGTCTACCGCGTCGGCTTCGCACCGCTGGGCGCCCGCCACAGCCAGAGCTTCACCCTCGACAAGCAAAACGGCGAGCCCAAGACGTTAGGCCTCCGCATCCCCCACATGCTGCGCCCCTTCTGGCGATGCTTCTACCGACAGCTGCAGCGCATGTCGAAGCCCTGGTTTCCACCTCCGCACGCCCATGGCCGCTGGCACCATCGTCGACGCGAAGTACCCATGGCAGCATCCAGGATAGTGGCGCACCGCCTCCAGCGCGCCAAGGCAGTCTTCATCGCGGGCAGCAAGGACGCGACCAACGCCTTCCCCAGCACCAGGATTGACAAGGCAGCCGACACCATCTCCCGACCTCTGCGTCACCGAACAGCGCCTCTTTCATCAGCGGTACCAATGCGCCAGCGTCCACATAGACGGGTTCGACGACACGGGCAACGTCGGCATGGGCTCAGGAGTGATGCCAGGCTGCCGTACCGGGCCCACTTCCTTCAACTTCGTCTACGAGAAACCTGTCGGGCAATGGCTAGACGCTAGACCAAACACCACAATCTTCCAAGCCGTTCGCCGCCGTGTCGCCCATCACCCACGCCCTGATAGACCGTTCTATCTACCTGTACGTAGGCGACATCCTTAAGATGCACCTCATCCAGTCGGGCCTCGCCGAGGACGCCGCCGCAGCACTAGCCGACAGCAGCGCCATCCTCGACTCCGCCCTTGCCAAGTACGGCTCCCACCAGAACAGGGACAAAGAAGAGATCGTGGGGGGGCTACGCACCAGAATGAAAATCGTGCACTACAACGACACATACCTGGTCGCGTACTACGTACCATGAAGTACCCAGGCGGCCACTTCCACCACGCAGGTAACAACGCCATCGAGATCGACCAGCGCATCCAGAGCATGAAGCGCGCATGGCGTATCATGGGGAAGTCCTGGTACCGACGTGTTTCCTGGCGCCTCAAGCGCATCGTCTTCCTCAACCGCATCGTGGGCACAGCCAGCAGCGGCATAGAGCCTTATTACCTGAAGGACACAGAATACAAGCGCCTCGACACCGTCATCTCCAAGTACCTGCGCGTCCTCATGCAAGGCAAGGCAACCAATGCGGACGAGCAGGGCACCTGCCGCACCATGAGCAACATAGAGGTGTTCAAGTACTGACGCATCTCACCAATGTTCATTGAGGTACGTGTGAGGCGTCTTCGCATGATACAGGCCTCAGTCAAGATCCCGTCCGACTATGACCAGTGGCTCACGGCGCTGTTCGGCTCCATCCAGTTCGAGAACAACGCCAGCAGGGAACAGAGAGGCGAGTTGGACGACGAAGGCCGCCTCGTGACAGAGGCGAACCCGATGGCAAAGCAGTACTACCAGGACATTCTTGCTATCCTCGAGCTTGACAGCGCCGAGCAGTTCAGCTACATGTGGGACGGCAGCATCACGCACCTCTATCAAGACGCAGAAGTCACCATGGTTTTCCTCAAGATAGACGTGGCAGAGCTCCGAGCCAAGGCATCAACAAGTTAGATTCCTCCGCCAGGGTTCGAACAGCAGCAACCAGCGGAAGATGTACGAGATGGCGATGAGCTGGGCTTCTAGAAATGTGAGCTCCGCAAGGACACAGGACAAGTTTGTGGACGAGGTTTTCGACATGGGCAGCACTCTGCACACATCAGACCGCGACAAAAGGTGGAGAACACGGGATGCGATCGGCAGCGGCAGCAATGACCATCACGAATCAGTGTCCCCTCTGCCGTACGACTTTCCTTGACCGCGCCCAAACTGAAGACCACCTGCTGCGGTCCCTCAAACATCAGCGCTGCATTGCCGACAACACGAGACTCAGTTACCATTACTTCCTGTGGGAAACCCAGTTTGCCAGCCCTGTCCTAATTTGCCGCCGTTTACACATCTCTCGAGCTTCCAGGACCACATCTGCGAGATACACCTGCCATCCGAGCAGCACGACATTTCATTAGACATCGGCCTCTACACAGATGACGTGGTGCGTGCCCAGCGAGAAGAAGATCAACGTCGTGGCCAGCAGCAAGGCGGACACCGCGAGCTCGACCAAGCACCAGCAGACGGAGCACCCCGAAGGCGGCAAGGGCAACAACAAGAAAGGGCGAGAGGGCGTGAGCGCCGCGGAGGGCGACGCAGGACCAGCCACGGCAGCAGCAGCAGGACAACGCCTTCAGCGCCTCCAGCGAGGAGGACAGGCCTACCAGATGAAGTGCGACCCCAAGCTTCAGAAGTTCCTCACCGTCCTCACCAAGCAGGTGGTCGCCAACACGCAGCAGCTGGCCTGGGTGGTGGCAGCAGTCTACAGCAAGTACCTCATCCCCAAGCAGAGCAAGATGATCAACTCTTCGAGGGCTCGCAGGAAGTTCTACGCGGACAGGTGCAGGGAGGCGGGCAGGGGGCCTTTTTTCGGGCCGCCCGTGGGTCATATGTACATCACACGTATTTCGACCCTCTGCGCCGTGGACGTGGGGGCCAAGACCAGGACCAACAACATGACGGAGCACGGGAAGTTCGTGGACACCATTGGCACAGCGAACGTCCTCAACAAAGTCAAGCACCAGAAGCACAGCAATTCATTCGACTGCAACCAAGCCAGGCTCACCATGTACAGCGAGCACGGTGCATGGACAGAGGCGAAAGCAGAGGCGGACCCGTCCGAGCTCCAGCTGCAGCAGGCCAACATCAAAGACAGTATCCACCGCGCCGTACTACAGCTCGGAGCCACAGTGCAGACGGGCAAGCCACCGAGGGAGTCATGGAAGATGATTTGGCGGCGTGGCTCGCCAGGATGTGAAGTATGACGGGAGAGGCCGAGCGACTACGCCTCGTTCGGCAAGTGGCGGGCGCGCGTGGCGCCGTGGTCACAGTGAAGGAGCCGCTGTGAGCGGCGACGGCGGGGGCCCATCCATACTGCTCATGCACTGCTCCGCCCCCCAAGGCCGCTCTATCTACCTCCTCCTCCTCCTCATCATCATTATCTGCCAGGGCGACAAGGGAGGGCGACAGGCCCAAACACGCTGGGATCCAGCCGTACCGCCTCCTCTCTGCTTTCCACCTGTTGTTCCCCGTGAGCCCCGTGGGAGGGAGGGAGGGAGGGAGGGAGGGGGAAGAAGAGGCCGAAGTGGAGGCAGAGAGGAGGAGCGCAGGGTTGCATAGCCACTTCGATTTTAGCCCGCCAGTCCAGGACGCCCTTCATCGGACCGGCCGCCGCCTCCTTCACGGCGGCCACGATCTCGTCGTACTTCGCGCCCTTCTCGATGCGGCAGGTCAGGTCCACCACGGACACGTCGGGCGTGGGCACGCGGAACGCCATGCCCGTCAGCTTGCCGTTCACGGCGGGGAGGCACTTGCCCACGGCCTTGGCAGCCCCGGTGGAGGAGGGGATGATGTTCTGGGAGGCGCAGCGGCCGCCGCGCCAGTCCTTGCCGCCGCGGGACGGGCCGTCCACCGTGAGCTGCGTGGCGGTCATCGCGTGCACCGTGGTCATGAGGCCCTCCACGATGCCGAACTTCTCGTGCACCACCTTGGTCAGCGGGGCCAAGCAATTCGTGGTGCAAGAGGCGTTGGACACCACCGTGTCGGAGGTCTTGTACTCCGTGTGGTTCACGCCGACGACGTAGATCGGGACGGAGTCCTCTCGGGGCCGCATGCCAAGCAGCAACCACCGAGCGTCTAGCACGTTTCCTGTCCGAGTCTAATATGGGTCACCTAGCCTCGCGCTGCGCGAAGCGCGAGGCGTGCTCGTCGTCGAGCCCTCGCGCCGCTCTCCTGAGAAGGGCAGCTTACCATGCCCAAGGCGCGAAGCGCGAAGGCCAGCTAGTTCTCTTCGCACCCCCGCGGGTGGCCTTCACGCGACGTCGGCGTTCCGCGCTCTTGGAGCGACGAGAGGCCAGGGTGGCGCAAGCGCGGCGCACTGCCGGGGGGCCACAGGGTGCGATCCTTGGGAGCACCACTGGGTGGGTGCCACAGGGGGGGCCCCAGGGAGGCCGCGGGGCCGGAGAGGCCGCGGGCGCCCCTGACCACCTGGGCGCCGCCGAGGCGGCCAGGAGGGGGTCGACGAAGGGGCGGGGGGGGGCGCGAGGCGGGCCAGTCCGTCCCACGAGATCCTGGAGTCTCAGTTCTTTCGAGCCGGGCGTTTGCAGATCGATCCAGCTCGAAAAATGAAGCAGAAAGATGGGGTCTGGGGCTCTGGTCGTGGTTTTTGATGGTGTTGCATTTTTTCGGAACGGCGGATCTCAGGGACGGGCCACATCCTGAGACGCCACTGGTCACTGCACCGACCTTGCCGACGTGCTGCAGCGGTTGTTTCTCTACGTGGATTTCTGTCAATGCTAAAACTCGAAACCGCGAGCGAAAAGCGATGTGAATTTCACATGGATTCGTTGTACTCTTCATCCCTGGCCCAAACAAACGCACGAAACTCACTTCGAAATCCAGAGCGAAATTCTCCAGGACAATCCGCGCCCGTCACATCGTTTTCCGAACGAAATCGGCTCTGCGATGTGGGCGCCATGACACTGGGCGGCCATGAAGGGCCCCGCGAGGCGCGAGGAGCCGATGGGCCACGCGTCTACGGGTCAAGTCCCGAGAGCGACCCGGTGCACTGTCCCCGGGGGGACACGGAGCCACGAGGGGGGTCAGGAGGCCGCGGGCTTTGGCCACCAGCTCAAGCTGTGGATTCGCCTCCCACCCCACATGACCTTGGGGGTCCTGCAGTGCTCTTCGCTGTTCGGGGAAACCTGGGAGGGACACGTGAGGCCACGGCAGCTTCAGCGAACAAGCCGAGCCGAGCAACCTCCTGCAGCGCCTCACTGTACAGCAGCGCGACTCGGGAAATCCCGCCAGCCCTCTGGGCAGGGTGGTTTAGGGGTATAATTCCTCCACTCCCCTCTTGCCCCTTCAGGAGGGGACAATGCCGCTCTCGGGGTCTCTGGGGGCCTCTCAGGGCCGTTTCGGCGCCCAGGACGCTGGACATTGTTGGCATGTTCGAGATTGGGACGGTGTTGGAACTCTCCCGGGGCCCTCCTTGGACTCTCTTGGGGTCCCTCTCCTTGGGAGCCTCTGGGGACGACCTGTGCCCCTCCTGGGCCCGTATTGGGGCTTTCTTGAATCCCATTGAGGCCATCTCGGAACTCCACAAACTTTTCGGGAGCAACGCGAGTATTCTAAGGTCTTGTCTCATCCTGTCGTGTCTTGTCGTGGCGTGTCTGGCCGTGTGGGACCGTCTTGGCGGCGACTTGGGTCGTCTTGGAGGTCCACTCCACGCTGGCTTTGTGGCCGCGAGTCGACTGGGGGGATCGGCCGCCTTGTTGTGGAAGTCCTGGTCTTCGTTTCCTTGAGGCGTTGCTCGGGTTCCCTCGTCTTGTTTCCGTGGTTGCCTGGTCCTTTTGCAGTTTCCTGGACTTGTTCCTTGCCGTCCTTTATCACATTCCCTGGTCTTTTTTGTTCCGTGGGCTCCCCGGTCTTTTCCCTCTGGCTCCCTGGTCGTTCTAATGCTAAGCAAAGCCACGCAACGATTCCAAGCAAGGACACCAGGCTACGCCAAGGGATGCAAAGCCAATGCCAAACAATACCGAACAACGCCAAACAATGCCTACGAATGACAAGAGATGGCAAGCACTGATAAGCAACGCCAAACAGTATCAAGCAACGATTCTAAGCAATGCCACACGCCGCCCAGCATTGCCAACCAATGCAAAAACATACAAATCAATGGCAAACGATGCCGAGCAACAAGTGCAAGCAATGCCAAGCAAACCAAGCAAGCGGACAAGCGGCCTGCAGTCTAGTTGCCGCGGGGGCACTGCAGGGTGGCGCCAGGGCGCCGCTAGTGGTGAAACAATACGACAACACCAAGACTCGATACATCAACGCAACGCCAAGCAAACCCGACAACGCCAAGCAAACCCGAGCACTACCAAGCAACGCGTTGCATTGCATTGCTTTGCGTTGCTCAGAACTGTTTTGAATTGTGGTCGCGCCGGATTTGTTTGATCGATGGCGCCATGCATACTCCCAGGAGGGCGAATGCTCCAAATCGGGACCAAAGAGTCCTAGAAGGGCCCCAAGACAGCCCCACAGGCCTCCGAAGTTGTCTGAAATAAGGTCACAACATGGCCGAGACAAACTCCCGAAAAACTCTCATTTCGAAATCTCCGCGATGGCATGTATGGTTGGTTCCCGGGTCTCCTCAGGTTCATCCCGAACTTTGGCTTGGCGGCTGCCCTCCACTTTGTCCCGCTGCTTGCTGCTACACGTCTCTGATCAAGGCAACTCGCAGATCGCCTGTGCATGGTGTCTGGATGCGCTGGTGGGGAGACTTTTTTGGGTCGCGGCCACGAGACAAGGGTCAGGCGGCGAAAGCAAAGTCCGGGGCACGAGCGATGCGAACTAGCTACAACAAGCACAGGCCGGCCGGCCCGCTCACAAAGCAGCCGCGAAGCTGAAGGGGAGCTGACGGCAGGGCTATCCTGAGAGCTCGAGCACGCGCACAGACAACATGTCATGGAATTCGGTGCCTGCCACAATATGAAACGTGAGCCAGGATAACCAAGTCCGTCAATCTGAGTGGGGGCAAGGGGGAGGCCAGTGGTCCGGTGGGGAGACGCGCAACGTCAAGAAATCCACCAACACTTTAAATACTATTAAGAAGCGTTCCCTCGTCCACTCGACCGGCCGCCATACAAACACAATGACCCCCCCCGCCATCCCTGTCAAAAAACAACGCAGAGCGCACAGGGCGGCAAAATTAGGTTCATGAGCAGCACTCCGTTGCGCCACCCCCCTGTCAAAAGCCAATGCCGACTCGCTGCGGGCGCAAACTAAATCTCATGCTGACTGCCCCGCCACCATTTTGCAGTGGCTTCGACGAAGATGGTGTGCGGGGGTCGACATGTCGCCCGATGCGTGCTGGCTTTGAGCCGGCGTACCTATTGCCGCCTGCGTTTTCTGCGCTCGTTGCGTTCGTGGCACGGTTGGAACGCGTGGCACAATTAGCGCACGTGGCGCATCTGGCGCAAGAGGCTCATCTGGCATGCGTGGCGCACCTGGCACGCGTGGCGCACCTCGCGAACATCGCAAACCTGGCGTCTGTATTGGTTCGCGGCGGCTGCCCATCCGATTGCGACCTCTGTTTTTGGTGGGTACGTGGTGCTTCCTGATCTGGTGGAAAGGCTGCTGGGAATGAGAGAAACAACTTGTCGCGTAGTTACCCCGCGGACACTTGACCCCTGTTCCCTTGCCCCCTCCCCTGGATATGGAAGAGGGGGAAGGTCCGCTATAGGGTACAATACGGCCCAAAATGATTTCGAGAGGGCCACGGAAACCGAAAATAATTCCAAGATAATGCAAGATGAACTCGTGATGGCCCCAAATAAAGTCCAACATGCCACCGCGAAGCCCCAAGACCGCCGAAAACGGCCCCAAGTAACCCTGGAGCCCCTCCCCCCCAAAAGGACGCCCAGGACACGCTCCCCATCCCTGCCCCGCTGCTCCCGAACCTAGGAGCCCTCGCTCCGCCACACCTGTGGCTGGGCATTCCCGCCTCACCCGGCTGCGATGCGTACGCTGGCCGTGTCCGCCCCCTGCCTCCCGCCATGGTCGCCGCTGCTGGGCTTTGCGGCGGCGTGGCTCCCCGCACCTCGCGCCTTCTCAGCACTTGGCCCTTTTGTAGCCTTCGGCTGCTGCCCTCCGTGGCGTCGCAGCAATCGACTTGCTGCGGTTTTGCAGCCTGGCCTCAACAGCTCAGCTCGAAGGCTCGCAGCACATTGCAGCCGCGAGTGGCTCGCTGGCCAGCCCCTGAGGTCTTGGCCTCCTTGTACCGTGCAGCCGCTGTGCGCTAGGATACATGGCAGCATTGCCGTTTGAAGAACGCTTGGGCCTCCCATCGAAAAACTCGATCGCCACTCCGCCCGGTGCTGGTTCGACTTGTTATACGCCTTCAGCGCCTGCAGCTTTTGCCTCAGCCCCTGGGTGTGGGCACGACGCCGCTCCACGTCTACTGCCAGGACGCCTCAACAACGGCCGGCCGCACTGGCCATTCATGCCGAAGACCTTCGTGCTGTGAGTGCCCTCCCCCGTTCTTCCTCGCTCCGCGGCCGCCCTCTGCCCTGTCTATTTCTCTTGCAGCTGGACAATTAGACTTTCTCTATGCTCCGCCCCACCTACTAGAACGCGCGAGCCGATGGCCTCTGCCGCGCCGCGGCGGAGAACGTGTTTTTGTTAAACAGTTCCACCTTTGCGCGTTGGCTCCAAGATTGCCCAACAGATTCCCAAAAAGGCTCCAAGACGGCCCCGAGAACACCAAAGAGGCGATTGGTCATCCACGACGGGTGGCGCGTGTGTGAGATATATATATATATATATATATATATATATATATATAAGACAAAAACACGCTGCATACTTCTTTGACCGATGGCCTCCAAGACGGCCCCAAGAGCGGCCCCAGGGCCACCAAGAAGGCCCAACGAGAGCTCGAAGGCCTCAAGACAGTACCACAAAGGCCACAGGATGGTCAAAACAAGCTCCCCAAATGCTCCCATATCGCAAGATCTGCGAAGGCCTTTAAGGTTGAATCCTGGGTTTGCTCAGGCTCATCCCCAGCTTCGGCATGTTGGCTGCACCCCCCTTTTTGGTTCACCGCTTGCTCATACACTTCGCCGGCCAAGATAACGAGCCTGGGCATTGTTTCTGGATGTGCTGGTAGGGACACGCCACGCGTCAATAACTTGATATCATCCTGCAGACAGGGCCTGACCAATCGACCACACACGAAAAGCCACGATGGGGTCACGAGATGTTTCATGATGCCTGGAAAATTGCTACCTTGGGGGTGGGGGGTGGGAGGGGTGCCCTGGTAATGGTAACGCTTGGGCGGCACGTGGCACGTCAAGGCGGGTATGCGCTGCAATCGCTTTAACCCTGAAAGGTCTTTAGAACCCCCACAACAGGGAGTAACTAATTGTATTTATTCGGCGGCCTTATTGAAGGACCGCCGCACACCAACGACAACGCCCGCTACTACTACGATTGCGACGACGACTACGACTACGACTACGACTACGACTACGATGACGACGACGACGACGACGACGACGACTACTACTACTACGTATGCCTCAGGAGCGCTTCACGGAAAGTCCAAGCTGAGAAACTCGATCCGCAGAAACTCTATCCTCAGAAGCGCCATCCTCAGCTACGACTGGAAGGAGGAAGAGGAGGAGGAGGAGGAGGTCTTGGGACGAGTCCTTTTTACCGCCGAGAGACAAAAGGGCGGACCAAAGCTAAAGACCTTTAGCGGCCAATATGCGCGCGAGCTCCAGCTTTGTTTTTTGGGGGGATCCCCCCCTTCGTACGATCGTTACCGGTACGCACCAGCGTGTGAAACAAGTCTCCGAGGGGGGAACTAGGAACCCATCTTGTCATCACTAGCAATACAGCCCGTGACCATCCCTCCCCCTCCGGTCACGTAACGATTCGCGCTGGCGCCGTCTGGGAGTTGGCTATTCCAAAACATCCCCACACGGCGCCAAAGCGCATCGTGACGCGACCTGCCTTCTCCCCCCCCCTCGGTCACACCCGCTATCGCCACGGCTATCACCACGGAATCAAAATTAGCCTGACGAAAGACCCAACCATACGTAGTTGTGAATACCGCAATTGTGGATATCTTCGGTGGCGCCCCCGGGCCACGAAACGAGTGAGGGGTGTGCCGAAATGGGGGGGGCGGAACCGCATGCGAGCGCAGCCACTGGGGCGCTCGGTGGAGCTCCCTATGGAGCCCCGAAACGTGTGAGGGGTGTGCCAGAATGGGGGGTGGAACCGCATGCGGGCGCAGCCACTGGGGCCTTCGGTGGAGCTCCCTATGGGGCCACGAAACGTGTGAGGGGTGTGCCAAAATGGGGGGTGGAACCGCATGCGGGCGCAGCCACTGGGGCCTTCGGTGGAGCTCCCTATGGGGCCACGAAACGTGTGAGGGGTGTGCCAGAATGGGGGGTGGAACCGCATGCGGGCGCAGCCACTGGGGCCTTCGGTGGAGCTCCCTATGGGGCCACGAAACGTGTGAGGGGTGTGCCAGAATGGGGGGTGGAACCGCATGCGGGCGCAGCCACTGGGGCCTTCGGTGGAGCTCCCTATGGGGCCACGAAACGTGTGAGGGGTGTGCCAGAATGGGGGTGGAACCGCATGCGGGCGCAGCCACTGGGGCCTTCGGTGGAGCTCCCTATGGGGCCACGAAACGTGTGAGGGGTGTGCCAGAATGGGGGGTGCGCATGCGGGCGCAGCCACTGGGGCCTTCGGTGGACTCACCTATGGTGGCGCATGCGGGCGCAGCCAACGTGTGAGGGGTGTGCCAGAATGGGGGGTGGAACCGCATGCGGGCGCAGCCACTGGGGCCTTCGGTGGAGCTCCCTATGGGGCCACGAAACGTGTGAGGGGTGTGCCAGAATGGGGGGTGGAACCGCATGCGGGCGCAGCCACTGGGGCCTTCGGTGGAGCTCCCTATGGGGCCACGAACGTGTGAAGGGTGTGCCAGAATGGGGGGTGGAACCGCATGCGGGCGCAGCCACTGGGGCCTTCGGTGGAGCTCCCTATGGGGCCACGAAACGTGTGAGGGGTGTGCCAGAATGGGGGGTGGAACCGCATGCGGGCGCAGCCACTGGGGCCTTCGGTGGAGCTCCCTATGGGGCCACGAAACGTGTGAGGGGTGTGCCAGAATGGGGGGTGGAACCGCATGCGGGCGCAGCCACTGGGGCCTTCGGTGGAGCTCCCTATGGGGCCACGAAACGTGTGAGGGGTGTGCCAGAATGGGGGGTGGAACCGCATGCGGGCGCAGCCACTGGGGCCTTCGGTGGAGCTCCCTATGGGGCCACGAAACGTGTGAGGGGTGTGCCAGAATGGGGGGTGGAACCGCATGCGGGCGCAGCCACTGGGGCCTTCGGTGGAGCTCCCTATGGGGCCACGAAACGTGTGAGGGGTGTGCCAGAATGGGGGGTGGAACCGCATGCGGGCGCAGCCACTGGGGCCTTCGGTGGAGCTCCCTATGGGGCCACGAAACGTGTGAGGGGTGTGCCAGAATGGGGGGTGGAACCGCATGCGGGCGCAGCCACTGGGGCCTTCGGTGGAGCTCCCTATGGGGCCACGAAACGTGTGAGGGGTGTGCCAGAATGGGGGGTGGAACCGCATGCGGGCGCAGCCACTGGGGCCTTCGGTGGAGCTCCCTATGGGGCCACGAAACGTGTGAGGGGTGTGCCAGAATGGGGGGTGCGCAACTGCGGCCTTCGGTGGAGTTCCCTATGGGGCCACGAAACGTGTGAGGGGTGTGCCAGAATGGGGGGTGGAACCGCATGCGGGCGCAGCCACTGGGGCCTTCGGTGGAGCTCCCTATGGGGCCACGAAAAAGGTGAGGGGTGTGCCAGAATGGGGGGTGGAACCGCATGCGGGCGCAGCCACTGGGGCTTTCGGTGGAGCTCCCTATGGGGCCACGAAACGTGTGAGGGGTGTGCCAGAATGGGGGGAGGGGGAGGAGGGAGGAGGAAGGAGAGGAGGAGGAAGGAGGAAGGAGGAAAGAGGAAGGAGGAAGGAACGCGGGGACCGTCTCTTCAAAACGAGGGCCCAACAACACAGGTTGGTTGGGAAAAATGGTTTCCAGGACGCCACTGGGCGATCACGAAGTAGCCGCGAGCGGGCCCCTCGAAGGGCCACGGGGTACGAGGAGGCATCGAGCGGTTCCAGAGCGGAACCTCGGGGCCAAGAGGCGCCACGGGGGCGCCACGAACCAGGCCCACGAGAGATGGTATCTACCCAAGGGCCACGAGGGTGACCAAGGGCCACGAGGGTGAACACGAGGGGAACCACGACAGGGGCAAGAGCACAGGGCCACGACGTCTCCATGCGTGTCCTTCCTGTCCTCCTCCTGCTCCTCCTCCTCCTCCTCCTCCTCGTTTTCAGCCTCGTGCTCCCTAGCCTCATCCTCATGTTTGCACATCCTCTCCCTTTCACTCCTGCCTGTTTTTCTACCCCTTGCCGAGCAGCCTGCCAGGTCCTTCGGGGGGGCACTGATGATCACCTTCTTGGCTCCGCCGCCGATGTGAAGTTCGGCCTTCTCCTAGGCAGTGGCGACAGAACGCAGGCTCCTTTCCCTCCCTTCTCTCCACACCACTATCACCTTCATCATCATCGTCTTCCTCCTCGTCTTTTTCATATTCCTCCCCCTCCTCCCCCTCCTCCTCCTCCTCCCCGCCGCCGCCGTTCCCATCAGCACCAGATCACAACTACCAGCACCATCATCATCATCATCATCATCATCATCATCATCATCATCATAATCATCATCATCACCATCATCAACATCACCATCATCAACGTCATCATCAGCATCATCGTGGCCATCAACCACATCATCATCGTCATTATCACGACCATCACCACCATCATTATCAGCATCACCCTCACCATCTCCATCATCACAATAATCGCTGTCGTCATCGTCATCGACATCACCATCAGCAGCACCGTCGCCCTCACCATCGTCATCATCAGCAGCATCATCACGATCAACAAATGATCAACATCATCATGACCATCACCACCATCATCATCACCAGCAACGTGATCACCACCATCGTCATCATCATCACCATCATCGTAATCAGTTCCTTCCTTCCTGGACTGAGCCTTGCTACTATGTGCCAGCGTCCGCCCTCTTCCTTCTCAACGTCCTCCCTCCTCTTCCACCCTCCCTGATATCTCGCAACGCCGTCGGACGTCCCCGATCCGCACCGCCGCGCCGCCGCGCGCGCTGGGCGCGCTGCGGGCGGATGTGCAGGGGCCCCCCAGTCCACCAGGGGTCCCTGTTTCCAACGGGGGGGGAAGGTGAGAGGACACCTGCCGGTCCTCTATACCATCCAGAGGCCCGCACAAGAGGTGGGAAAGGGTATGGGTGAGTTGCCGGACCACTCAACGTGTGTCAATGATGCCTACGGCGCTAAACTGACATAGACGTACTATCCTGTGCAACGATGTGCTTCCACACCTTGGCCCGCAACACTGATGTTCGCAATATTATTCCGATCTCGCCTTGCGCTGTATGGCTTCGTTTGGACGTAGCTCATGTCGAATGCCGCCTCGGCGGCTGCCCGGTCATACATTTCGGGAACCTTAAGTCAATATTTACTGGGTCCTGGTCGCTGTGCTTGCGAGCTGCCTGCTGGAGGGCAAGCCCGAGCGTCTGCATGGTCATGCGACCGACGGGCTCCAGGCACGTTGTCCTGAGCCGGATGTACTCCGAGCGTGCCTTGGATGCCCAGCGATTTGCTGCCTCATCCTGGGGCCCGAGTGCACCCTCCCGTTCGTCGAAGAGCGGGCGGGCTTTAATGCCGACGAGGCGCGCGGCCACGCCAGGGGCGAGCGCACGGCTGCCGCTGGCATCTTACTCCAGCTCAGTGTTGTCCGGCCGAAGCCCTGCGCTTCCTGGTGGTTGTCGTACCTCAGCTGCAGGTCCTCGTGACCCTGCTAGTGGTCCTCGAAGCTGCGCCTGTGGTCCTCGTAGTTGAGCTGGTGGCCCTCGCAAGTCGGACAGAATCTCTAGTAGCTCGGCAGGTGGCCTGGGTAGCTCTGCCAGCGGCTGCCATAGCTTAATGTGGTCCTCGTAGCCCCGCGCGCGGCGCTCGCAGCGCAGCCTGCGGTCCTCGTGGCTCGGCCGGTTGCCCATGTAGCTCTCTGCTTGTAACTCTCGCAGCTCAGCAGGGTGCCCTCGCGTTCCTGCTCGTCCTCTTTGTAGCTCAGCCAGCGGTCCTCGTAGCGACTCATCTGCGCCGCCATTGCGATGCGCCTCGAGATGCCGCCCCGGAACACGGCCGCCGGCACCGACCCCACTTGGCCGCCGGCCTCAAGCAGCGGAGGCCCCACTGCCCGAGGACTTTAGCTCCCGCGCCCCCCACGTGGGGGGACCCCTTCGGGTAACTCCATCGGGCCTTTCACGGGTGGTACAGCAGGCCCGCGCCTACAGTGGCTGGCCAACCACAAGGCCAAAGTCTCTCCTACAGCCCCGTCGGGCTGCGGTGACAAGCGGGGTGCCAACCCGCCTGTTTCCTTGGGCGCCACGAAGGCACCCAGCGGCACAGGTGCCAGCTCAGCAGGTGGCCCTGGTACCTCTCCTGGCGCCTTTCGTGGCTCAACTAAAAGGCCCTCGTAGCCGTGCTCGTGGCTCTCGTAGCGAGGTTGTGGTCCTCGGAGTTCAGCTGGTGGCCGTCGGTCTGTTGGAGGCTCTGGTAGCTCAGCAGGTGGCCTGGGTAGCTCTGCAAATGGCGCCCGTAGCTCAGGTCCTGGTCCCCGTGGCCCTGTTTGTGGTCCGGCCTGTGGCCCTCGTAGCAAGCGGGAATGCCCTTGTAGCTCTGCTGGTGGCTCTGGTAGCTCAGGCGGTGGCCCTGCTACCTCTCATGGTGCTTCTCGTGCCTTCGCTGAAGGTCCTCGTAGTCGTGCCTGTGACCTTTTTAGCCGTGCTTGTGGTCCTCGTATTTATGCTGGTGGCCCTTGAAAGACTGTTGGACGCTCTGGTTATTCACCAGGTGGCCTGGGCAGCTCTGCCAGAAGCTCCCGTAGCTCAGGTTGTGGTGGTCATCGTTTTCCTGCTTGTGGTTTTCGTGGTTCAGCCTGTGGCTCTCGTAGCTGAACTTGTTGCCCTTGTTGTTCTGCTTTCTGCCGTTGTAGTTGAGCAGGTGGCCCTGGTATCCGCCCTGGTGCCTTTCTTGATTCAGATGAAGGCCCTCGCAATTCAGCTAGTGGCCCGCGTATGTCTGCTGGAAGTTTTGGCAGCTCCGCAGGAAGCCCGGGTATATCCGCAGTGGCTCCCGTAGCGCAGGTTGGGGTCTTCGTCGCCCTGCGCGCTGTCATCGTAGATCAACCTGTTGCCCTCGTAGCTCAGCTGGGGGAAGTTGTAGCACTCCCGGTGGTTCTTGTAGCTCAGCAGGTGGCCCTGGTACCTCTGCTCTTGCCTCTCGTGGCCCAGCTGGAAGTCCTCGCAATCGTGCCTGTGACCCTTGGGCCCTCGTCTTTCAGCTGCTTGGACAGGCAATTCGGTCGGTGGTCCTCGTGGCTCTGCTTGCGGCTCGCGCAGATCAGCGCGTGGTCCTGGCAGCCAAGCCTGTGGCCTTCGTACCTCTGCAGGTGGCTCTCGTAACTGAACAGGTGGCCCTATTAGGTCCGTGTCGTCCTCTTCCTTTAGGCCGTGCTCCTCGTCGTCCTCCTCCTCGTCTGCTTTCTCGGTCTCGTCATCGTTTGCCTCCTTCTCGGTGCCTCCTCGTCGTCTCCCCCTCGGTCGAAAACGGACTGCCCGGGTGCCAGGTCACAACACGCCGCGTTCCAGTTGTCTGGTGATGGTCCTCGAGGCTGAACTTTGGCCCTCGTAGCTCTGCTTGTAGAACTCGAAGCTCTGGTGGCACGGTGAGAAAGCCTTATGCGGTGCATTCGTCGTGAAATTTGTGCTCGCCACGCCCGTTATAGCCGTCGTAATCGAACTCGTCGTAAGCGGCGCGGTCGCTGTCCACCAGTAATTCGATGACCACGTACTTGGTGGCCCCTTCGGGCTGCTCGGTCGGGTCGTTCATGGCGTCGGCCTTGGCGGCGTATTTGGTGTCGTAATGGTGGTTGGTCTCGTCATCGGGCCGCAAGTTGCGTATCTCTTTCTCGTGCTTGGGCTGCCTGCTGCGCAGGTCGTTCTCATACCTGCTCTGCCTGCTACGCAGCTCTTCCTCGGGCTGCCCGGTCCGCAAATCGTCGTGGATATAATGCGGCTTGGCCCGTCGCGTAGTGGACGCCATCCTGGAGGCGACCGTGGGGATAATCATGATGTCATTGAGCTGTGGTTGTAGCCCGTGTCGGACGAGGTAGCCCGCCCTCTTGAGAGCTGCATCCCGCACTTGGTCTCGGAATGGTTGCCGGCGAGTCTCCACGCGAGTGGGTGATCTCGTAAGCCTTAGTGATGTTTTTCAGGGTGATTCGCACGGTGCCCGCCTCCACTGGCGCGGCGGCGCGCTGAGATCGGCCCCCACGAGGGCGGCCGCGCGCGCGGGGCGCGGCGCCCAGGGGCGAGCGCGGGGGATAGAGCTCTGGCAAACGGCCTCCCACCTCCCTTTCCTCCTACTCCGCTTCATCATCAGGCCACCGTCCTACTCTTACTCATCATCACCACCATTATCATGACATCTATTCATCGGTCCATCCTTCCTTCAGATTCCTTCTCGTGTACCTCCTGTCCACCTCCCCTCACTCACTCCCTCTATTCCTGTCTGATCTCTCTCTCTTTCCCTCTTTCCCTCCCTCCATCCCTCCCCTTCTCTCCTCTCTCTCTCTCTCATCACCCCCCTCTTGCGCTTCCCCCTCCTAGATCGCGACCTACGCATCTCCACCAGCATACGACCTTAGCATTGGAAAGCATACTGATACCGACGGAGCCAAGGAGGCAGTCATATCCAGTGGGGTGATCATGACGGTTTTGTACGTTTGCAGGTGGTACCAAGCAAGCATCCGAGATACCATGCACACACGCACCCCATAGTACGACTGCAAATGCGAGGGCAGAAACTGGACACACAGCCAATCAGAAGATGGGGAGAAAGACGCAATGGCGGTGGGCGTCCGAACATAACAACATATATAAGCATGAACCTAGATTGGTAACACACATAACGTCGACCACGAGAGACGGAAGTGGACATCAGCAGAACGGAGCTGGCCAGCGGCAGCACAGTCTTGCTCATACATGAGATCATCCTAAAGCAGGCGCAGGAACTGTACGAGCAGAAACCACCGCTCCACTCAGAGCGTGTGGTGCTCAGTGGCCAGCGCATGGACCTGCTGGCATGCCTCCGACGAGGCCATGACAGACTTCGAGGAGCAGGTGGTGCAAGCAGGATCAATCACCAAACCAAGTTAACGAATGCGACGGCAAGCTGCAGTAGTTGTTCAGGCTGGCTGAATTGAGTCAATTCGGGAGGAGTGGGAGCAGCGAGACAAGGCACAAATGGCGAGACCGACTCGCACAATAGCAGGCGGCAGATGGGGGACACGAGGAACAAACTTTCGCGCAATGCGACTGGCAGACCCTAC